CCCCAAAACCCCAAAACCCCAAAACCCCTTGATTGATGATTGTAAAGCATTAATAGTTTCATGAACATAATGAATCAGTGATATAAATTAGTTATATTATTTCAAACGTTCATTAGAATTATAAATTTGAAATTAAACTATGAACAATTACAATATTTCAAACTCTTCTGGTGGTGGTTCTTCCTAAAAATCTTCTCGATACTATGGCCTTCCCCAAACAGGCCAGACCCATTTGAGTGCTTCACCCTAAAATGATCAGTCCAGGCCTCATAAAATTCAGGTGCTTAAGCCAATAATAAATTACAGGCACAATGCGAACAAAGTGATCGGAGTAGATATGGTAATCATCATAAATAAACTTCCTTATTCTAATAAATCCTTAACCTCATCTCATATAGAGTCAAGAAGAATACTTCTTTTACAAGCCAATCTTGGGAGGTAGAAAAATTCAAGCCAAAGAGAATTATTAGAGTGAGAACTAGCAGTAATCACAACAACCTCCTTCAATGCAATAGTACTCTAAACAGAGTTTGATTGGTCTTAATAAAAAAGAGAGCTATGGAGGCAGCAGCAATTCCACAAACAGCAATCACCAAAGCACTGCCTAATAGTCAAAAGAGACACCCCACCATAGCAGCAAGTTTCATATGCATTAGATGAACTCGAATCATTTGATGTCACCTAAATCAGTCATTACAAACAGCTTATTGCAAAATCAGAAAAGTCAAAATTACTCCTAGGCTAATGAGGGCATTGCATCTCAAAAGCGAAGCTAAATTTAAAATTACTCATCGAATTCACAACCACTAACTCAAAGATATATGGGCAGTGACGAAAATTCAAGTAATTTTCATTTTACCTTACTAATCTATAGAGAATGAAAGTTACAGTGGAAATCACTACAGAACAAAGTTATCCACAATTGAAGATAGCGGTATTAGTGACTTTAAATCCATTTCTAACTTAGTAAATTTTGAATCTTTAATCATTATATAGAGTCCAACTAATGGTTAATCAAGATAGACACTTGACGGTAGATTGAGCTAGGGAAGAGTATCATAATCGAGGGAAAGCCATAATAATGTCTCCTAAAATACAGGCGACATGACTTCTGACTCCCAAGGCAATAACATAAAGAGTTCGTTGATAGCTTTCGAGAATCATAAATAATTCAGCAATAATCCTTTGAAAGATATTTCAAATCAAGTATCTAATAACTCTAACAGCCATCATCACAGTTCAAAGTCAAAGAATAGCTAGTAAAACTTCAACATCGGTGGTAGCACATCCTCAAGACATAGTTTACCTTTCTAAATAGCTCCTAGCTCAATAAAAATTAATAACTATCTAGATTAGCCTTTCAAGTAGATCACTCCATCAATCAAGACCAATGATAAAGATAGTGGATTGCCATTTTAACTATCTTCAGGGTCTAACTCAAAGTTTACTGATAAAAATGGAGCGAAAATATCAAGCTTTGATGAATAAAACAGATACAGCAGCAAGCTTCAAACTCATTAATCAAATAGCAGTCAGAGTGGTCACCAGTAGAAGAGTTACTTTGAAAAGAAGAGACTTTCTGATAATGCCTTAGATGATAAGTACAGAATGGAAGAAGACGTTATAAAGGACATATTTGAGAAAAAAGAGAAAACAAGAAAAGGTCACAATGCCTCAGTGACAACCAACACCTCTACTACTTCAAACAATACAAATAAGAAGTTAGGCAGTTATGGATAGCTTGGTCATAATTAAAATCCACACACTCAATCAACTATTCACGTCTCTAGGAAGTCCTAATTAGGCTCTAAGAATAGCACTCCTTCTAATGGAACAGCCACTCCAAATGTCTTTGCCTAATAAATATCATCATTCAAAATTATTGAGAATTAAGATAGAGTTATAACTAATGTAATGGAGTAGATCAAGCGAAAGCAAAAGGGCTCTTTCAGTTTGAAAGAAACTGCTAAGTCTATTAAAGAGCTGAATAAGTCAATTCAAGCCTAATCAAATGATAGCAGCTTCTTATCATTACTTAGGCAGCATACGAGAACACATTTCGTCTCATTAGCTTTTGTTAAGGCTCTTGACGAGGATCTGACTGGTTTGAACAGAACTACTGATAATCTACAAGCCATCGTTCTTAATGCTCTAGAATATGTAAAAAAGAACTTCAAATGTTTGAATGATATCTTACTTAATGCCAGTATTACTAGTAATGGTAATAAATCAAACAAAAACGGTAAGAAAGACCTCAATAGCAATCCATTTGGAGTTGGTGGGAGCGGTGCAGTCACTACTAGAAATAGTAATAAAGAAAATTATGGGTCAACTTAGAACTCAAATAAAAATGCAGGCTCTAAGAGTGAAAAGAAAATGTTCATAAAGCAGAATATCTAAATCTCCCTCGCCTTCTTGAAAAAGATATGCAGAATATCAAAGACCTACTAAGATAAATTCAAGGAATTCCAACAAATACTTAATAACATTGAAACAGGTGCTTAAACTACAAAAGTAAAGGATTAGATTAAAAGAGCACTTTAGCAAATTAGAATTGAGTAGAAAGCATAAATCTAGCATACCCAAAGCTAGGCTAACATCAATTCTACAAATTCCCCAAGAAAGAGCAGTTTAACTACCACCTCTAGAAAGTCAAGAAAGAGAGAGAATATTACTATTGATATCGATGAAGATCAAACTTAACTACAAACAACTAACAATTATCACTTTGGTGGCTAGTTTAGTGAACTGAAGGAACATGAGCATGAGGAAAGCATGGAAGATAATAAATCTTCTGATAAGCATCAATCTGCTCAAAAAGTTGATACTGATCCCTTTATTCAAGGTGAAATAGATGAAGAGAGAAAAGATGAAAAAGAGAAAACATTTTCACACTTGTTTGGTAACAAAGAGAATTCAGCTCCTAACTTCATCGATAAACCAGGCAGATATTCTCTCTAACCCTAGCCTTTAGGACTTATTAAGTTGAACAATGAGTAAAGCCAAAACACTGTAGTGCCCAAGACTGTAGATGAGGAAAAACCTTGCATTAAAGTCTATTAATCAGCTAAGTAAGCTTAAGCAGATAAGGAAAATATTGCAGCTGATAAGGAAAACACTTAGCAACCACAATTGAGTATTGTAACTAAGAAGCATGCCACCAAGATTTCAAATACTCATGAGCCCATCACTGTTAGAGGATAAAGGACAAATCCTAGATTCAACCTAAATGAGGAAAGTAATGGCCTCTAGTATTGTTTCGCTCCACCTCACATCAATAACAGGTCTAGCAGTCTGCCTTCCAAAGAACCATACCTTCCTTAAGATGTTACTAGAGGACTTGATTACACTTTGGTCCTTGATCTTGATGAAACTCTTGTACATTTTGATCCAGTAAGTTTATTAAAATAGTTAAAACTATTCTATAGAGGATAAGAACATACCGACCAAGACCTTTCTGCTTGAAATTCCTACATGAGATGTCAAAATACTACGAACTAGTTGTATTCACAGCTGGACTCAAAGATTATGCTGATTGGATATTAAATGATCTTGATAGATCGTGCTACATTTCTCATAGACTATACAGAGATCATACTAAATGTAGAAGTGGCGTCTATATTAAGGATCTTTCTAAGATTGGAAGAGACCTCACCAAAACCATCATTATTGATAACATTGAGGAAAACTTCCAGGCTTAACCAGATAATGGCATCCCTATTAAGGGATGGTATCACGACTCCAGTGACAGAGAACTAGAGAGATATGCCATGTTCTTAAGAGACATTGCTCTGAAAAGAGTTCAAGATGTTAGACCTGAAGTCAGGCAATTCAAATACAAGCTAAACTTAAGTTCCTCAGTTATAGAAGGCAGCCCAAACAGTTCCCGACATCCTTAAAAGCATGGAAACAATGAGAGACCTAGTGGAACTAATAATCAATAAATGCATAGAAGAGTAGGGAACTAGCAAAATAATTTATAGCCGTGGGGAGTTAGATGAGTAAAGGCTCATATTATGTTAAATTGGTTTGTCCTTCAGTACTTACATTCATAGATATATTTCCAATCGATAATTAAACTTAATATCTCTTTGTTTTATCCAAAGTTTTTGTAATTCTTAATTCTCTCTAATTCCTTATATTGGCATCATGGGGTTTTGGGGTTTTGGGGTTTTGGGG